CCGTTGATTTCTGTTGGCTTGTTCAGGTGCATCTTGTTTGACGTTCGAATTTTTCGATCCTAGTTGATGATCATGTTTCCGTTACTTGATCGTGCTTGATGATCACGTTTTATGTTACTCAATCCAATTGTGTGATGGAGTTTTCCGTTACTCCATTCTATGTGATAATCAAGTTTACTCGATCTTGTATGTTCTGAACGCCTATGTTTAATGATTGAGTTTTCCGTTACTCAATCCTATTGAATGATAAAGTTTTCTGTTACTCCATCCTGTGTGACTATCAAGTTTACCTAATCCCGTCTGATGATCGAGTTTTTCGTTACGCGATCTCATATGTTTCGAAGGCCTATTGGTCTGTTGTTGCCTGAGTTCTCTACGAACTGCTGAATCTATTGGCTCTTCAATGTGCTATTCCATTTTCTCAGTTATCTCGACTGTTTTTTCTAGTGAAGATCTGAAGTTTTTTTTTCGGATGGCTCAAGTCTGTTCTTGAGGCCGTCTGTTGTTCCTCAGGCCGTCTGTTCCTGAGGCTTGTTAATCCGCCATTGCAATCAGTGCTTGTTGTTCAAGCAATTTGAGCACTATGAAGACCACAACTCGTTTTTTGCAACTTAGTAGTATTCAAACTCCAGCTGCTTTGTGTCAAAGTATCTTGAGTTTGAGGGGGAGTGTTAGGATATGGATATCTCGTGTTAATATTGATATACATCATTATGGCTACATATCAGTATGGATATGTATTTGTAGAGATACATATCTTTCGATAAGATTAGGATATGTATCATGCTGATGCATATCAGTATGGATATGCATTTGTATAGATACATATCTCTTGATGAGATTAGGTGGTGTTTATCCATAACTATTGGTATTTATGTATCATACTAATACATATTTGTATGGATACATATCTCTTGATAAGATTTAGTGGTGTCCATCCATAACCATTGGTATTTATCTTTAACTGTTATTGGCCATATATTTATACGGAGTCTTGTATATTCTTGATTAATCAATAAAAAGAGAGTTATCTGCAGTATTTTAAAATAATCTTCCACGATGACCTAAGGACAATTATATCGAAATACAGTTTCTAACAATATAGACATTTTTTAAGATATTTTTGAAAGGGGTACCTTAGTAAAATGAAAACTAAAAAGGAAATCCTCCTGTGTTTTTTGAGATCTCATGACCCCTTGATGATTTTAAAAAGAGTTTTGACTCCTTGATATGGTTCATGTCTGTGTTTCACATTTTAATTGGCAATTTGGAGCATAGATAACTCAACAATGATACACCTGGTAAGAGAAGGCCTCAGGATTCATAATTGTATTGATGTATCCCCTATTTCATATCCATACATCTAGATGTCAATATTATCAATTTGAGGGTTTTCTACCAATGAGCTTTTTGGGTGTGTCTTACTTCAACCGTTTAAAGTTGATAGTTTATATAAACTTTTTATAAACATAAAATACATTATAAGAAAAATACCCAACTTTGTTTAATATGTCCAACCAATCAAACAAGCCGCTATGACAAGCCAAAACCAGTCAAATATTAGTTTTGATCCGTTTTCAACTAAATTTTAATTTTGCTTTGGATCAGACTGGCCACGACACATATTGCTGGTATTACCAATTGAGCCAGACAATGCGATCGGAACTTGATAACTATGGCTATAAGCATCTCAAGGACTTTCATTTTCCACAAAGCTAGGTCGGGAGTCTCTTAGGACCTGAGTCTCATCAAGTTTCTTAAGCAGGAAAGTCACCAACAATCTCCTAAGTGCCTTCAATGCCATTTTTTCTGACATATAAAAATGCATCAGGGGTTTAGTTCGGACTCTTAGCTCAAACTGTTGGACTCAACCAGTTAGAGCCCTCTCGCACAAATGCAGATGCGCGCAGTGGAATCAGGAAAAATGGAAAACAAAATTATGCCAAAATCGATGTATGTGTGTGTATATAAGTGGGAAAAATACAATAAAGCATATAAAGAAATAAATTTTACTAGCACCGAATTTGCGTGGTTCATCTTTTCAGGCTACCCCTATTAACTCAAAGGTAACAATAGTCTTCCAAGAAACAACCTTTCTTAAGATCACCAATTTCATCTAGAGACTTCTTTTTCTAATATTTTCCTCTCTGATCTCAGAGGCTTTTTTTCTTTCTAGAGGCTTTCTCTCTCTCTGAAAGGAAAGGTTCTCTTTTTTCTTCCCTTCTCCGTCTTTTCTCTCTCTCGATAAAGAAAAAACTTAAAAAGATGATCACTGGTTCTCTTTCAATTTCTTCTCTCTAAGAAGAATGATAACTCTCTCTCTTATTCTTTCTCAAATAATGATAACTCTCTCTTATTCTCTCTCAGATAATGATAACTCTCTCTCTCTTATTCTCTCTTAGATAATGATAACTCTATCTCTCTTCTCATTTCACATAGAATGATGAATCTCTATCTTCTTTTTCTCTACATAGCCAGATAATGATGAATCTTTGTCTTCTTCTTCTCTTCTCACAAAAAAGGATGAATCTCTATCTTATTTTATTTACATAGCCTCTCATGTGATTTTTATTTGTATGGACTGGATAACAGCTTCTCACATGATTTATATTTGTATGAACTGGATAATAGCTTCTCACATGATTTCTATTTGTATGGACTGGATAATAACCATGTTTTACTGGATAACAGCCTTTGATTTCTATTTGTATAGACTGGATAACAATCATATTTGGAAATGTATTCCATAACCTTGTAGAAAAGACATCCATCTCTATTTCTATTTTTAGAAAAAGTTAAGAAGTCACATACCAAAACCATTACGTGCGATCCTATTGTTATGGAATGAATGAAAACTTGTCAACAAGTCACCATTTTCCATATTCTTGAATTGCCCCTCTTTCAAAGAACAATTTTATTGGTGTCCTCCCTTCATGGGATGGGACGCCCAACATAAACAAAACTCAAGGTACAATACTAAACCAAAAATTTAAACACATCAATTGCAAAGTCTCAAGCATGAATCCCCAGCCCTCAACCACCACAACTTGGAATATATAAACACTAAGAATGATATCGAAGAATAGCTTTAAAGAAAAACCCAATTTTGTCGATCTAGGGATTTATGAATGCAATCATTTTTCCTGGATTGACAAATCCTGAAAATGGGGCAAATGTTAACAAATTTTGGATCTGATGGGTACGTTGAGAACCAAACATGCTTCATGATCCAAATCCAAGCTTGCAAATCTTGCATTGAATTTCTAAGGATCCAAGTGGCCCTTAAACGTTCCGAAGATAGGGAGGAAAGATTAAGAGTCTTCACTGGCGGAGCATAATATCAACATCTATAATCCAGAGGTTCTCATCTCTCTTTATTTTTTATTCAAAGGTTTCTTCTCTTTTTTTTTGAATGTAAACTTGGACCCGTAAGGATTGTAGCAATAGATAACACCTGCCACCTTGATCACTTATGCCTTGAGCCTGCTACTTTGTCCAAAAGGTTCTCATCCGTTTATTGAGGTCCCTCATCCCTCTAATTTTCGGTCGAAAAAGATCATATCTCTTCATTTTCCATCAAAAGATTTTAGTGGTTGGTGATGAGATTTTGACATGCTCAATAATCGAAAGCCTTTATTGAATTCATAAATGTGAGATTCCTTAATAATGCTGAGCATTCAGACTCTCTGATAAAGTAAGAGTTTCACTCATCAACTTTATTGGACACAAACTGTGTTTATGTGAACTCTCAGCTTTGAGAGTAACAGAAATTATGTTCATTTGCCCCACTGGATTGAGAACATTAGAATCTTATGAATTGGAAGAGAACGACTCACTTAAGATGCCCTGATAAATTGCAAAATTTCAATTTGGCCAAGAATCCAATTAGAAAAAATGAAATCTCTAGCATTTGAATCCTCAGGGAATTAGCTGTCGATTTCAAAGATAGTCTGGCAAACAAAATGTGATTGAATATGGTGAAATGATTATGTTGATTATTCGAATAACTAAGCGTTTCACATTCATTGTCATGACAGATTCATAAAGAACTGAACCATTTAAATCATGATACCAGCAATTGCACAAACATAAATTTACAAAAGGATATTGATCAAAAAGCATTTTTTCGAATTAATGAGCAAGAAAATCTTTATGAATGCCACTGAACATTTCAGGAAAGTGCTTAGGGCCCACAATTTTTATGGGAAGTTATGTGCAGTGCAAGTAGGGTGTAATGCGACATCTAATAACACCGAGGCCGAAGCTAACCGGCTTTTACTGCAGGCCCACGCGCTCTATTGAAGGGCCTGTACTTAGCACTGTTACAGGCCCGGTAATTAAGAACCATTGGCCCTACCTGGCCCCTTTACACTGTTTTTAACTAGAAACTTCATACAATTAGAACCCGTCAGATGTTATATTAAGGTCCAGGCCGGCCCCTAAAACCAGCAGGCCTCAAATTAACGCCCAGCCTGGCCCAACAGGACCTAAGATGGGACCAGCCCTGGCCTGTGAGAGATTGGGATTCACGGCCCACCAAGCATCTTGTAAGTTGTGACATACTAAAAGCTCCACTTGAAAAAGTTCAAATTTCCCATTATTCCAATATTAGACATCAGCACTATTTTTAGAGGTCCAAATTTCATAATCAGAGGGGAAAATAAATTTTCACAGTAAAACATGCATTTCCAAAGCCAGAAACACGTATTCTACCAGATTTTGAATATCAGTTTCTCGCAAAGCCGCATCTTTGACACTAATCCCACCCATTAAATTATCCTCACAATTTACAACAGTTCTTGTAATCAGAAGTATGAGCAACCGTGCACTCGTATATCAAACAACTAATCTGATATTGAATCAAATTATGGAGAATATAGTGAAAATCTATATACATCACACTTACTGAGAAATCACCAGCCAAACAAGCCTACCCAGCTTTATCCCAAAGAGTCACATTTGCATTAACAAGCATTTTCAAGGAAAAAACACAGCTAAAAGAACCAACAATTAACAAAGAAGACCTTTCCTCATTCAAAAATGAACCAAGTCCTCTGTGACCGTACAAAACATGACATAATCTCCACTCATACATGGGCACAAACCTCTCTCAATCCCTACTTAAATAGAAAAACAAGACAAAATAAAGGACAAAAAAACTCAAGATGCCCACACACCAAAAACAGTGGTGCAACCTCGTGCAACCCAAAAAAGGAAAAATAGGACAGGTATTTGGCTATTAAATCAGATGACACTCCATAATAACGATGATTTTCTGTACTTTATAAATAGTATAACATGCTAAGATAGCGGGGAAAGACGGGTCTTTCTCACTCTTAACATTGTGTTTTACTTTTTTTTCAGGCCATGGCCTCTGATGGGCTATAGCCATTCCTTGATGCTTGGTTTCCTATGGATCCCCTCTCTTGCCTAGGGCCTCCACGAGAATGGTAACCATTGCTCCCATCAAAATTTCCGTAACTACCCCTTGTCCCCGAGCCTCTAGGCCTGTTCGTGTAGTCCCTTTCAGCATCTTGAACGGTGGCCCTGCCAAAAGAGCGTGAGCTGAAGTGGCCACGACCTCTGGAGGCTTCACTTTGGTATCCACCTCTCCCTCTCCCTCTCCCTGTTCTCGCAAAAAATAAGTACACAAGTGCTTGAGCGCCAGTTATTCTAATCATAGGTACAAACAACGGTTTAACAAAAGCAACATTAATTATATGATACGTCTGTGTGTGAGAGAGAGAGAGAGAGAAACCAGTCTGTCAGGCAAAGTTGAGAGCACAACCAAAAAGGAACATCCGAAGAAGGTTCTTTGGGCCATATTTCATTATCATAGTTAAGAAAAACAGCATTCCTTGCTTCAGATATACAACTAGCATTTTTTCAGATATACAACTTCTAGATTTTCTCCTTTGAAATTAGATGTGGGGCAAAGACATAACTATCACAGCATCACTGCTATGCTCTTTTTTTAAGTTAGATAGAAATAGATAAGGGGGACTATACCATAACCAACACTACTGCAACTACTAACAACACTACATACTAGATAATATTGATTATATAACTGATCATTGAAACAACAGATGTTAATGTAGATATGGACCTAAGGAAAAGGTACAATCCCCATTGCCACAGTGTAGCAGTCAGGACTACTCCATCCAGACCAGCACAAGAAGCCAGATGAGAAAGACAATGTAATGGTAGTAGTATTAGGAATAAAGAACCATAAAGGATTGACATTTGGACTCTTATTTTTGCGATTTGCACCAATATTTTCTGCCATTCCAACCCAAAAAAAAGGGTGGGATATCAAGCACAAGGGATGGTAAAATTATGGGAGCCTCCACAATAGTTTACAGAGAAATAAGAGAAAGAGGAAGGGCATACTGCCACGAGAGTTGCTGCTGTTTGGTCTACGTTCCTCTACATGCACTTGCCGGCCACCAAACAGAATGGGAGTTGCCTGCGTTGTTTCATAGTAGAATGATAAATCAGGTAGAGCTCATTGTAGTAACATAACAGACTGCATATAGATACATACAGACAACCATGTAAACATGGGAAAAGTTCAAATATGGTATTATTCAACTGAGGTCCCCTTCTAAAAATCCATGTTAAAGATTGATTTAGGATCTGCAAAACATACTGAGTCACTCTAAATGCATTTTTGCTCTATGATTTTGCAGCTCAAATAGTGCAGATCTGATGATCTGCGAAGAATTAATATCCAAGGTAATGAACAGTCCAAACACAAAAGTTTAAAATAGACTTATTTCAAGGACTTAAAATCCATTATTTCCAGATTCCTGAACATGGTGGTGGTTGAGATCATATCGACATGTGAAATTGTAGGTCCAAACAGATCTCTACCATGGAAGCTTAAAGGATACCCCATGTCAATAGGTGCATACCCTAACACCCAAAACCCCAACCCCTCCCCCTCCCCCTCCCCCTCCCCCTCACCTTCCCCCCCCCCCCTTCCCCCCCCTTCCCCTCCCTGCCTCACTCTACACAAACACACAAGCAATCAGTTAGGCATTTAACGAACTTTGAGAGGGCGTTGGCATTTTTTGGTGGAAATTATATAAAGGGGATTCCTCTGTGTATGCATGATTGTTTTTAATAATCTTCCACACATATTTCACCCTTTCTTTTTTTTGGCAGAAATAGCAAAATACAGGTTCCAACAGCAAAGAAATGCATAACGATCCCCTTCTTTTGATTGCTATACTTTTGATTTCTTTCATAAATGCTGATACTTTACAGGTTGAGAGAAATTTGGAATTGAGGGTCGACTTCTCACATCCCCCACATATCTTTAGAAAAATAAAGTAAGAGAAAAAGACTGTCAAGTGTCTTCAAACCCCAACCCCTGCCCCCACAACATCGCTCTCTCCCCTTCAAAAGAAATGCTAGCCGTTTTACCAAGATGTTTCTCTATCCTTCGAAAGGAATACACAGTAGGAAAAAGCACTTATCAAAGCCAGTTGTACCAGAATGAATCAAATTAATACCAGCAGAAAGGAAACAGAACAGAAAAGAAAGATGAGAAACACAATATAAGCCTCAAGATGTACCAACCTTAAGTGCATTTTGAACACCACTGATATCTTCAAATTCAACAAAGGCATAGCAGACACCAATATCCTGCATTGCAAAGAACATCGCATGTGCTCAAAGAGAGAACCAACTATTCTTAAATGAGATCCAATGTAATGTTACGGCAAAAGAAGAGAACCAAAAAAAGAAACTGTGGACAAGGACATTTCAACGTACCTTGCGGTTCCTAATAACGACCCCATCTGGCTTAATTCTACCAAAGGTTTTAAATTCCGTCTCCACTTCAGACTCTAAAACAGTTGATGGCAGGTTCCTCACATAAACAGATCGCCCATCTCCTGACAGTTTGAAAAGCAAAAATCAGAAACGGAGAGACAGTAATGAGAATGCATTGATGAGATCAAAACCCAACTCGTGTTTGTTCATGGTGCAAATATACATACAAAAACAGAAATCCAAATGAGAGCTTTGAGTCTTTTTCCCAGAAAGAATAAAGCCAATTAATAGAGTAAATGGTATGGTGTAGTCATGGCCACACCCACAATTAAATAGCCGAAGCTCATCACGCCAGGCTTTTGAATGAATGAGCCCCCATAAAACTGCATAATCACTTCCCGAATCTGCAAGATCAATCTTCAGAACAATAATAGCTTTGAAGCCTAACATTGCTTCATCTTGAACACTACCTGAAAGTTTGATCTGAAAAGTCTAATTCGATGTCAGATTAGGAGCTTTTTACGAGCTCCAAATCCCTTTCTTTTCTTGTGATGGAGAACAAACTGCATGTGTTTTGGGGTCATGAATCCATGAAAAAATGAAGATTCAAATTGCAGCCAAATGGGTTTACGGTGTAGCAGCGGCCACACTATAAATGGCCCTCTTATAAAGGCACAAACCGAACTACCAAAAGGTCAAAGGATTTGCAAAAATACCAGATATCTGATGGCATCATTCGTTTTTCTATTACAAAAGAGAATGGGGGGGGGAGGGATGATTTGTGGGGTTTGATAGGTCAGCTTTACAATAACAAGATTTATGTAACAGTGCATTTCATGAATTAATATCGGTAAGAGATCATCCACACTATAAAAGTTAAACAGCAGACAAAAAATGGGACTGGATAAGCTGAGAACAAGAACAAGAAATACGAGATAAGCATCAATCCCCTAAATAACAGATGAGAAGAGGCTACAGATTCATTAATCTCTCAAGCCTATATAGGTCCAGCAAGAGATCAGGAGAAATCATTAAAACCAATTGTATGCCCCACATGGAAGAGACCTGGGGATTGAAGGAAATCACTTCAACAATAAACAGTATCCTCAAATAACACAACGAAACTCATAGCAACACCAAAATAAAGGCACAAGACAAGGCTTATTCTATGACAAATACGTCGAATTTGAAACATCCACCCAAACACCATTCAGCCTTCAAAATATAAAGCTATCAAGTAAAAAAACCCAAAATAAATTGAAAGCTTTTTTTCCATTTACCTTCCTCCTCTGTGGGTGCACTATTATCCTCAGATACTTCTAGGTTGTACTTCTCCGGTACCACCGTAGTCGCAACATAGGATGGCTGAGCAGCAGGCTGTGGCACATGATGCCACTCTGAAACCGGAGGGACATTCCTGCTTATAGTCGCTGAGGGAGCTGATGGTCCAGAGGTCACTTTTGCAACTCGCAGCTTAAAATATCACAAATAAATCAGAAAAAAAGGCCGGTAGGTAGATTAGATAGACATGAACCAGAATTATCAGTTTAGGTAATAGGATACTAAAGTGTAGACATGGGCGTATGCGTGCACACATACACACACACACAAAACATCTAGAGAGGAGAAAGGTATTAGAGAAACGAACTTAGATCAAAGTATAACATCAAAGAAACCAAGAGAAGAGAAACTTTAGTTCAAACAGAAGGAACAAATGTGAGAACAATGAATTCAAGGAACGTACAATGGAAGCATAAGTATGCTTTGTGGGTTCTCCAACAGGTCCCTCAACAGGAAGTGCTGGAGACGGCTCCCTTGCAATACTGACTGCCTCGGAAAATGAGTTGGCAATGTCATCAATCACAGGAGTTTCCTCCACCACATTACTCGGTTCAGAGACCTGATGTGCCTCAGGTGGTAGACTGTACTCATCAATCTGGTTGTTTTCTTCAACATGAGATGGAGGAGCAACATATTCTCTACCCTGAATATCTCCAGCAAGCATGTAATCTGAGACTGCTAAACACAGCATGTGAAAAAAAAAAAAAGAAGATGAGATGTCAAAGTGGAACATATGAACACTAGAAAGCCCACCCAAGCTGCTCAGCCATGCCCAGTCAACTAGAGAAACTAGGCAACTCTACCTAGTTATACGAACAAAGTAGTTCAGAGAAAAAAATAACAGAAAGAAATAGTAACTTTAATAAAACATGTGCCCCAGGTACGATGTCGTCAGAACAAGTGCCAACTAAAGGCTTCCAGATCCAATATTTACTATGATTAATCCTGAGAATGTTTATGCAATTTGAATATTTCTAGGGAAGAATATCACAACTCCATAGACTATGCAAAACCGAAAGTCATTACCTATTTAGGGTCACCAGCTCTAATGACATAACAGAAGGTGATTAAGAACAAAGTATACCCACCAAAATCAGACATAACCAATGGTGGATCCCACTCCCTCCAAATCATTATCCATCATTTTAGAGTACAAAACACAGGCATAATTCGCAGCATTGAGTGCTTTGCAATTCTATAGCCCATTAAATTACTGCATGTGCATATTTTTATGTGAATTTGACAAATTAATGAAGAAAAACAGCAAATCATGGTGTATAAAGCAATACCCTGCTCCTGATGAGAAGTAGATGCATTGAGCTGGGAATCGTAATTGGTATGTGCCAACATGGCTGCTGCTGGTGACTGAAGGATCTGATCATCTTCAAGGAAATGAAAAATGTCATTCAGCACAAAGTAACCTTTCTCTTGTGGGGCAAGAAAAAATGTCTGCACAAACTTCCTCCTGCTGTTTGAGTCCTTCAGGTGCACAGAACCAGACACCATGACAAGAACACCGCCATTCCAAGAATCGAGAGAGTGGGCTGTTTTTATCTCAATTCCAGTAAAATTCAGGGACATAATAAGACGATGGATTTGCTGCAAAAAATATATATACATCCACAAAGTATTTAGCAGTTAAGATGTGTTTAAATAATTCAGGAAAGTCTAAAGCAGAGTGACACCGAAAGATAAGTAGATATCAATCCCATTATCGATTCTTATTGAATAAGAGGAATAGAGCTGCACAGCTCACAATTTAGAACCACATGCTAAGCAAGAGATCACCAAACAGTCCAAACACTTTGTTGGAGCAGTATAGGAAAATAAATTAAGCACAAACTACGGACAGGGCAGGAATGACAGAGGAGAAAGATTATCTTTCAATGTATTCCATTTGTACCTTCCATTCAACTATTAGCTTAAAACAAATATCAAAGAAAATAAGGCCACATGCACAAGCAACAAGACAACATGAAAAAACAAAAAAAACCTTGAGTTAGCAATCATGATTTTTTGTTTTTTTTGTTTTCTTAAGAGCAGATAGCAGTCATGAATTATTAAATACTTCACAAAACTGGAACCCATAAATTATTAAATGTAACAGCATCTTGTTAAAAAACATCATGCAAGGTCTTCTAGAGAACTTCAAAAAGTAAGAAAAATAAAATACCATAATGAGTGCAACTCCTCCAACAAACAAAGATTATATAAGCCATCAGAAACAATGCTTATGAAAAGGTAATCACACTCTGTTTATATGTAAATTTGCAATCTCCAACCACAGAATGGGTCCTACAAATTTGTCTGAAATTGAGAAAATGGTTTTATGAAAGTCAGCCTGCAATGGGGGTGGTTTTAGTCCAACCAAAACTAATCTATAGTTTTAAATCAGCCGATCTTAGCACAGTTCTGCCTACTCGCTTTTTAGATCATCAACCAGGTATTGATCTTGCTATTCTCCCTCAAATCTTATAAACAAAATATACACTTGACCTGAGATTTTGGAAACAAAAAAAATAGAAAGGATTTTGGAGGATCAAAAAGAACAAATTAAGAGACAAGCTAATATAATATCAAAAAGAAGAAAACATAGAGAAAACTACCTAGTCAGGCCTGTAGCCCATGGCTGTGAGCCTATATGAGACGAAATGGACATTGAGTGGTCTCCTCCTTGACTGATTTTATGTTCCTTTCCTCTAGATGTTCTTTGGAATTTGGATTGTGGTTCTGGAGTTTTAGAAGCCAAAGTGGAGGCTTAGAGGTCAAATTTTGGCTTTTCTTATTGGTTATTGCGGTATTTTTTATAGGATTTTGAGGAAGTCATGAATTCCATGAATTCCAAAAGTTTTCTAGGGATCCTAGAGTTTTGAGGTTGAGGTCAAGGTTTTTGGGAGTGCAAGGCTCCTGAGATTTTCTGGGGCTGCTTGGTTCTCCCTTCAAAGGGCCAAAACTGCATCCAAACGGAGTGGGGCTTCCCTAGAATCCTCTAGGATATTATAAAAGGAAGTCCGATATGATTGGGAGCCATTCCCGAGAAGTCTTGGTTAAGGGCGAAGGCAGTCAAGGCTCTGTGCCAAACAATCTTGGTACAGGGCTATGATTTTTGGAATCATAAAGTCATAGCTTCATGTGTAGAAAATCTCGGCTCAAATTGCCTAAGTGTCATTTTGAAGCTTAGGGAAGGTTTTAGGAACAATATGGACTGGGAGAAGTCAAGGCTGTTAAAATTTGAGTTGATACAAAAAATATTGGAGGAGGACCAATCACACCAAATTCAGAGGAGCTTTAAGACTCAGATAACTTCGATACTCGTCAAGAAAACAAAAAGGTTACGCACACCACATTCCTAGGAAATAAATCTCAAACACATGAAGAACCACTTTCATGGAGACAGTCAAAGTGTCCTACATTCAAGGAAATACATGAGGCCACAAAATTTAATATAATGATAAGGAAATACACTATAAGATAAACCATAGTTAACTGAATCTCTCTGACCAAGTCGTGATTCCACTTCCGAATCCCAATTAGGGGATTCTGACAACAAATCTTCACGGGACCTATTTCCTTGAATTCAAGAATCTCGATTCCTTAGTTTAGGAATCTTGATTCCAACTTTTTCCAAATGTCAATCTAACATTCATGGAATATCGATTTCCAACTTTTTAGAATCTCAACTCCAACATTTATTTAATCTTGATTCCATATTTGTTGATTCCCAATTCCACATATATTGAATCACAATTTGATTTTTCTTTTTATTTCAAAATCCAGAACATCAAGTAGCTCGATTCCTAAGCACAAGAGACTACAATTCAATCAATATGGGGTCCTGCTTCAACCTTCATAGAATTTCAATCCAAATATTTTTGAAAACCTAATTCCATAAAATCATTTATTGATGTTCATAGATGCACAAAACTGTGATTCTTTGAACGTGGAATCTCATTGCAAATATTGATGGATTTGGATTTCAGTTATTTGGAAACCCGATCGGAAAACATTGTTTCCCATTGTTTATAGTTGTTCCAAATTATAATCCGATGAAGGTAGTGTTGCAGCATTTGTAACGCGAATCAACTTTCAAATGCATATGTTTGGAGTTGAGAAGTACTCAACATTTATGATTCTAATGTCTTTTGAAGGTAACAAAGGCAGGTAGAACTAGGGCGTTGGAGCATTAATATGAGTACTAATGATGCTAGTACTAGCTCGAATCAAATTTGTAATAGTGCTAGGATCAGTTGCCTTTTTTAAAATATAATTCGTAAAGAGTTTTACATTAAAATAGGACTACAACATTAACAACATCATAGCACAAACAAAGTCCTATTTTGAACTATAATAATGAAATCAAGATTACATTCAAAATACATGAGATAATATTTGTAACTTTTGTAGACAACTTCCCAGGTGAACTACAAGTGCCTATCAATTGATCCTTACTTCTGACCTTGTGTCTGAGGCTTAATAGTCAATAACTCAATACACTAACTTCATATCTACAAACCCTTTTTTAGGTCTTAGACACCTCTATTCTCGCTTGCTTGATAAGGTTCTAAGTTGTTAAGGCACGAGTTATCATTGATGTACGAATTTTGATTATAAAATGGGTTGAAACTCGACATGATAGAGTTACAAATCTCAATTTCCATATGAGTCAAAACTCGACTCCAAACTGATATGAATCTCAATTCCAAATTGATATGAATCTTGATACTAAATACATCAAAAACTCGATTCCAAGGATGTCCAAATCGCGAGTCCATATATCCAGGAACCTCAATTCCATATGGGTTGATTCCAAAAAGGTTAGAAACTTGATTCCAAATAGGTTGGAAACTCGATTTCCAAAGCAGTCGAAATCTCGATTCCATGTACGTAGCGATCTCGACTACATTTGGGTCAAAAATCGATTCCTATAAAGTATGAATCTCGTTTCCCTCAATTCCCCATGTACAGACATCGATTCCAAAAGTAGGAATCTTCCAACCAATTGTGACTCCGCAATTTCGATTTCTAAACAATTTGGAATCTCAAGCATTTCCAACAACTATGAGATAAACATTGAATCGAGCTCCTACGACTTACCTCAAAAGGGCTCTAAGATCTAAGGAATAAAGAAGCACGAGGAAGCGATATATTAAGCAGCTTAATCCTACTTCTTATTCTAAAGTATGCAAGTAGAGCAAGGCAAAGGGGAGACTACTTGAATATATTGATATGCGTTAAGCGAGCGCTTAAAATTTCCAATGGAAAAGTGTAAAATATATTCATAACATTACTCTATGATATTAATTATATTTACATAATTATTTTAATATTACTATCACATTATTAAAGTTGATTTTAATATTATTATAAAAAAAGTCAATGATAATAATTTAAATTATTATATTAAATTTAAATTAATTATAATAAATTCATATAATTTTATTTTTATTATTTGAATATATTAATAATACTTAATTCTAATTTTAATAATTCTATATAATTTTCATAATTATAATTAGTGAAACGATACTATTATTGTCCTAATACATGAATTACTGCATTAATATTAATAAAATTGGTCTTTGTAGTCAAGGTTTTCTTGGATTTTGTAGAGTCTTGTAGGAGTCTTTAAAAAAGAAATAGAATGTTCTTAAAGGGGATGGTATTGTTTTAGAAATGGATTGAAGACATTAAATGGTTGCGTTGAAAATTGTAGAAAATTGTCTATAAATAGAGGTAGCTTGACAATTCATTAGTACAAGGTGTATGAGAGAGAAATGTGAGTTGTGGAGAGCAATACACAGATAAAGAAAAGTGAAGTTTTGAAATCCCCTTGAGGTAAATCATAGAAGCTCAGTTGTGGCTTTTGGCCATAGCAACTCCCTCTATTTGATGTTTATATTAATATGTTTTTCTATGACGATGCTAAGGTTGATTTTATAACTCTGCTTCAGAGTTCTTCTCACCCAAAAGTGGCATACTGTATTTATTGAGTTCAAGAATTACTTTCTTGAGGTAGTGGATGATCTAGCTTCTTTGTTTTTTGTAATAAATTTGAAAGTTATCCAAATCCTAAAGCTCCTCTAAATGTAGTGTGCATAATCCTCCCCTTCCCATATTTTTTGATAAACTCAAATTTTAATATGGCATGAAAACCTATGGTTAGGCTATCCTGGGATATTTCAAAAATCTTCAAAGCCCAAAAATTCTATGCAGAGCGTACTTGGGCATGGTGCCTTGAGCAGAAGGACCAATATGTTTTTCAAGAATTGTTGATCATGCAAACCATATCTTTCATATAAACTATTGGATTTAAGTGACACTTGAACCATTGGAAAGCATATTCTATTTATACTTTGAGATGGTCTAGTTTTTGGGATGGTGTGGTTGAGTTTTATTGGGGCAGTATCAAAAATACTCAAATGTATGAATTTTAGGCCTCCAAGACATATTGTGTAGAATTTTGGGTTGTTCTAAGGAGTATATGAATTATTCAGGTTTGGGATGTCTATGCAGGTATGTCTCCTTAGTTAAGGTGTTATAGGAAGGTTATTGTAATTTACCACTAAACCGACTAAAATTTAGGTGCCTAGACATGGTAA